GCGATTCTTTCAAGAGTAATTTGCCCATCACAGAATAAACTAAAGAAGTGCATTGTCAGTAAAGTGACATGGAATGGGGCTGCACATATAGACTAGAATCTTTGCCTACTAACTGAGGATCTTATATTTAATCCTGGGCCAGAGTGTGAGAAATTGAAAAAAAAAACCACACAAAATAATAGAAAGTTTAAGCAGATAAATAAATAATTCGATTTACATACCACAGTGCCTGAAAATGACAAACAACTGATCTCCCAGCGTCTGTTAGCACTTCAACATTTCTATTGTATGTTGATCACTTAACTGGAAGAATATTCAAGTAGTCAAATATGATTAAATTAAATGCAATTAAAGATTTGTCCATACAGTTGAGCCACTCCGATCTATAATATGATAATGTGCAAGGTACTCCTTCAGTGGGGGATAGAACAGGCAGTATTCTTAAATGTATCTGAATACTAGGCTCCTTTTTAGAGTTTAAGTTGAAAAACTATTTGGGAGCTATTAATCCATTTGCTATGGTATATTAAATACCAATTCTCGGGAAAAAAGTCATTCAAATACAACTTTACATTATTTCTGATTGATCTACTTATTTACTGACTATAAAAAGTCATATGCAAGAGTGACCATATTTAAGAAACTCACCTTTATCTGCCTTAGTTTGCCCCTTGCATCACAGAAGACATCTCCTCACTAACCAAAGTTCATTGGTTCATTGGTAATGTTATGGTTTTATCAAAAACTATATATATGTTCATTATTTCCCAATTTGATTTGAAACTATATTTGTAAAAACTTTACAATTACAAATCTGTCTTTTGCAAAAACTCAATTCTTTCACTTCTGAGCTAGGGTTAAACATTCTAACTCCCTCTCCTTTATTTCTCTACTGTTAACATTTGTCTTTTAATAGAAAAATATCCTTGACATTTAACTGCAAATGAGCTACCTAAGAACAAATATCATGGCTTAATTTTCTGAATGTGGTGGGAGAATCCCTTAGGTATTTCCTAGTGATTATTTCTTCAAAATCTCAAGTGCGGGTTATCTCTTATTTTCTTTTCCAGTATTTACTTTGAGGCCATTCTTGTATTCTGAGTATTCTTAATTGGGGAACTTGGACACCCATTGTACTTTTCATTATAGTTTGAGCTTTTCAACATCAGGAGAAAATTTGAAATGCAAATTATGATGAAAGAAAATAAGGGATTCAAGGAAGCTCTGAAATTAAGTGCAATAATTTCATATAGTTGACAAGTCATTATGACATTATATTTCAAAATATTTTGGAAATTTAAATAAAATACCTACATTGATGGTATGATTTATGAAAGATTAGTTGGTCTGTTTGGTCAATGATGGGCACACTTACATTTTTGCAACTATAGCTTGATTTGGGGTCTTGAGATCACTTGTAGGTGTGCAAAAGAATGTGAGCATTATGTCCTTAATCCTCTTACTCTTTTTGTCATTCTCTTGTTCTACTTCTCTTATGAAATTACTAGTGGCCCAATGCATGGAGTCATGCACATTGAAAGGAAATTAATTAGAATAAATATTTTAATATTGCTATTCGTCCTTTCTTCTATAATAGAAGTGTCAGAAGTGAAAGAAAATTAGTAAAATATATATAAAAATAACATATAAATCAACTAATAAATAAACAATAACAACATGATATAAGAACAACAAAGACATGATATAAAAACAACAAAAATAAGATATGAAAGCAATAAAAACATGATATAAACACAACAAAAACATGATATAAAGACAACATTGATAAAAACAATGACTGATAAATTGCTTAAACTTATTCTAATATCTCCCTGTATACCATATTAAGAGTAAAAACACTTTCAGAGTGCTTGACTAATTTCCCTTCTGATGCAATATTTCAACTTTAACTTTAATATCACACGATCTTCGAACTTGAGAGAAAGCAATGTATAACTGACCATATCCAAAAATGGGTTCAGGAAAGAATATTGCTAGTCTGTGTAGTTTGTCCTTGTGATTTATGAATAGTCATTGCAAATGCTGGCATCAAGGGAAACTGTCTTCAAATTAATTTAAATGGAGGCCAGTGTCAGACATGAACAAATCAATTCTTGGAATCAGAACACCCTCTCCTTCCCTAGATCCTGTTAATACTGCAGCTTCAATTATGTTAGGT